GAAAACCCAGAGGCTGAGAATCTGGCCACTGACCCTAGTGTCAATTATTAACGTATCACTTGACAGCAAACGGCAAAGCTGCAGACAAATAGCGAAAATTATGTAAGGACCGAGGCTGCTTAGCCGGGGAAACGGGGATGGGATGGGGTCAGCATAATCTTCGGGCTCGTCGGGCACAGGGAGGGATGCAGAAATCATAAATCATCAACGAATTCACTCAACGATGGTTTTTGTCAAACAAACAAACAATGGACCGACTGTGTGGCAGACCCAGAGGTAACTTCTCCGCCCGAGGGGTGCACATCCACATCCACATCCACATCCACATCCTCTTCCTCGACGACGATGATGATAATGATTATACTCTCCCCGATGATGAGCCCGAGGATTTTGCATTTGGCCGTTGACAAGCGGCATTCATTGCACTTAAATTATGATTTTATTATTATTATTATGGAATGGAGCGGAATTGTTGGCCATTAATTTGGTCATCAAATGCAGGCAACTGTTATAAATATTCAAAGTAAGCGGCGTGTGGGAAAATGTGCCCAGATAGGGTGAAAGGGAAATGAGGATGGACAGGACGATTGTTAGGGAATGGATGGATTTTAGATCTCAGGTTTTCGGATTGAAATTGCAAGCTGAAGATCACGCGCTACACTCGAGCCTCACCTGCTCATCGAAGACATCGAAGATCCCAACAATATTCCCATCTTCAATAGTCAAGCCCCCTAACTACCCCTAGCGAAAAGTGAGCTATTCGCCAGCAGAGCAAAAAGGGGGAGCGAAGGAAAATTGCCCATTGAAATGTAAACCGCCAGGAAATCGGGGTTTGGCTTTTTCCGGATTTAACCGTATAGGAACAAAGGAGCATTGCGGAGGAAGGAGAAGCGACAGCAGCGGAAAAAATGGATAGCAAACAAACAGAAACAGATACAGATACACAATGAGCTCAGGATTCTCAAATCCGAGGAGTGTCAACAACCCAGACGGAGGGGTCGGAGATAGTAGAGCGGCAGGCAAAAGTAGCAGTTTTGTTATTGTATTGTTAGATAATAATAATCATATCGCATTGCATGCTGTTGACACATGAGCGATGATGATGCTCATCCCTGGCATCATTATATAAAAAGAGCGAGGGATGGCACCAGGACCCGTCCTTTGTTCCCTTTGAGGGCGAGTGCTGAGAGGTCCTTAAGCAGGCAATAAATATTTACCAGGGCAATTATTTAGCAGCAATTAAAGCGGAGAAGCGCGATTGCGGAGCCCTGGTATCCCTCTGTTTAGCGCTCTGCTGGCCCATTCCGCCGCTTTTTGCGCTTTTTAATTAATTCCACTTCGAAATGCCTTTAATAAGCAACTGTCACTCCGACGGCAGAAAAAATGTTTTATCTGTGCTGTGTGTATTTTTAATTTCATCTGTTGTTTGTTGCTGAAAATTAAAAACCTGATTCACTCCAATTAATCAGCGACTGTCAATGATGCTTAATTTGCATCGCCTGGTTAGCAGCGATCACGTCCAGAGGCAGGGTATTATGTGTACATATGTAGAGTGCGGGGGCGGGACGAGTTCGGATCTCCTGTTGCTTCCTCATGACAGCCTGGGTATTTCTGGATTGCACGGTACTTACGGTGTTTATCGGCAATAAAGAAGTTTTAAGTTAGGCAACAAATTCGGGTAAACCCTCCAGACAATGTAAATAAAATATACCATTAAAAACACAGTGAATAAAACTTGTTTTTATATATATTATATAATAATTAAATTGTTATATTCAATTCTCATAGGAATATTCCTTAAATTATAAACCTTACACATCCTAACCTTATAAACTCCTCTTCCTGACCCAAAACGAAAAGCATATTGTTGTCTTTAGCATCCCAACATATTTAATAATATACAAGCACATATTCCAGCCTAAAAGAAAACACTTTGGCAAAACTCATTTCTTTTTTTCTTTTGGGCTCGACTACGCCCAGAAACATCAGAAAGCCCCCTTCCCACGACGGAAAAGAAACAACGCCCCATAATAGCCACAACAAAAACAATTTCAGACGGGAAAATGGAGGGGGCTGGGAAAGCAGGGGGAAAGTTTGGGGGGTGGAGGAAAGGCCGTCGGCTCGGCACTCGTCTGCAAATGACAGCAAGCTTTGCAGCAGTTACATAAAAGCCAAAACATGTGCCATATATACCAACAAACAATGCCGTGGGTACATATATTTAATATATATGTGGCCATGTACAACTTTCTTGGCTTAACCCACGCACACACACACACACAGTCGCAGAGAGGAGATTACAGAGCAACCCCAAAAATATAAGAACCACCCCAAAAAAACAAACAACTCTGCAGCTGTACACAAAACGCCATGACAGGCAGTCTGTGCCGATTCCAATCGTTCCGCCCGCGAGGAGCGATTTTTTTTAGGAAATTAACCATTTTGGGGCTTTCCGCCCAAAGGAGGGAGGAACAGAAGCTCCCGCTAAATATGCAAATCACAAAACAGCCGGCCTATTTCGCAGCGACGCCTGTATTATGTACCCAGCGACTTTGCCATTGGATTTACTTTATTGAAATATTTAAATAAGTTTGTCGATTCGCACAGCCTAAATGGGATTTGCCGGCGAAGGGGGCCCACTGTACTTATGGCGCCTTGCCAGGACGAAAAGGGTGCGCCGAGGATGTCTTTCATGTCGCCCCGTCGGAAGGGGAAGTCGAGAAACGTCGTCTGAAATTGACATTTTATAAATGGGCGACGGTATTTCGGTTATTTTCCCCTGGACCCATCGGACCCGAAACTTAAAGCAATAAAACATATTTAAATTCCAGTTTTAATGCCCGCCAGTTCGGCGTGGAATGTGAAAATTATGCGTATCCTGCGCTGCACTTAGCCGGGACCCGAACCCTTTAATGTCCTTGGCCGCAGCGCGTGCCGCATTCTGCGTCTCCCCCGCTGAGCTTAGACCGCAGCGCTCCAGGAGATGGATATGTGGATATCTGGATATGTGGATGTGTTCTGCACTCTGTTCTCCGTGTACCGTGTTCCAAGTTCGGGGGACATGGGATATGGCCTCAGCCAGGCACCGATGTGCCGCTGGGTTCCCCGAAAATAAGGTGATAGGACTGATAGCACATAGCAGCCCAGCGGGTTGGCGGAACCAAGTCAGCTGCCTGTCCTATTTATGACTAATTAGTGTTTAAAGATAGCGATTCCCACAGTCACCTGATAACCGTGGAGTGATGATAAGGCTGGGCCAAAGCGTAGCGATATGTTAGGGTAAGACACAGCATTCTTTACAATACAGAGAAGGTTTTACAGATATTGTAGTTTCTTATTTAGTTTTACAATTGTCTCTCTAGTACCAAATGTATGTAAATTATATCACCCTAACGACTTATCTGGCGCCTCGTTCCATTGAACTCAATCAAAAAGCGCGCACAAGTTGGGAATTCGAAGCATGTCGAACTGCATTCGCCTCGCTTGTTCTGTTTTTGGGACCCTTGGGGCCTGTCACAATAATTGAGTTCCAGTCGCGCTCCGATGGCACTTCTTGTAATGCTTATTTATGAGTTTTAAATTTTGACAAATTAATAGAAACCACAATAACAATCACAATGCGACACGCCATTCAAATCGAACAGCATTTGTCTGATTTCTGTTTATTTATACATATCTCCCAAAGCTCTCTGACTTATTACAGGTCTCAAAATAAAAACTTTATTCAAATGCGGATAATAAAGCACATAAATTAGTATTAAATTACATAAAAGACGAAAAGAGCTGAGACTTGTTGAGCTGGCTGCGCAGTCACCGCTGGACGTCTTTTATAAGGCGGGCCACAAAGCCCTACCCCGAAACCCCACCTGCATGGCCCAGCTGCGCCACTTTTCCTTAACCCTCTACTCGCCCTCGCCCTCGCCTCCCCGATGCGATTGTCATTGTCCGCTTTAAGCTCGAGGTGTGAAAATGTTCGATTATTGTCATCGTCAACGGCCCGCGTGGGTTTCTTTCGGGGAAATGGGGGCCGAGGGGATCTGAGCCGCTTAGTTTCAATTGTCATAAAACTTGTGGTGCATGTAATGGCCGCTTATCTGCGACATAAATGCCATATGCTAAATGGCCTTAGCCGGAGATACTTCTGTGCATATCTCACTGGGCTTGTTTATGGCCTTTAACAGGCGGGTAATATGGCAAGTGATTGAAATTGATGGAGCAAGCAAACAATTATCAAGTCATACCTGAAGATAGATATTTAAATTTTAAGTTTTCCCTCGCTTCGTTGATTTCCCTGAAATCGTTGCCAAATTGCGGGTTAGCCCTCGGCTCCATATTATTTATGGATAATCCTGCCTTTATCGCCGTGCCTCGCTGTCAAGATTTCCGACTCCACACCGCCATCAAAAAATAATTTTCTAATAAGCTATAAAATATCACTTCGGGCTAATCGAGGGAATGTTTTTCATGTTTTTGATCGGAAAAGGTGTTACGCACACGAATCAAATAATAAACGTTAACCCTGTGACCTTTTCCCTTTACCCTGCCGCTTTTGTTCTTGTGCATCCTAAGAGACGCCCAGACGGACGGAGAGACAAGAACAAAAAGGACAATCGGCATCGGCACAGGTGAAATTCGTGGACGGGTCACAGGGTCGGGATCCCTCAAACAATGGGCCTCTTGATCCCGCATAATTTATATGATTTCTTTCCCCAGTTGTATGTCTTGTTGTTTTGTTATTGTTTTCCCTATAAATATGTTGGACACACGGGTTTTCCCACCTTTATTAAATTGTGTGTGCAGGACAGTCCATAAAAACTGTGAGCCCATAAATGGCCATCGTCTTTTCGTTGTTGCCCTTGCTGGTGCTATTATTTATTTTATGTGTGTCACATAAATAATGCTATTTATTGCTACACATAAGCAGCGTTATATGGTTTAAGAAGTGTGTTCTATGTCTATTGAATCTTATCGAAATGTTTATTTTTCGTGCCTACTTTCAGGCGAGAAGCCCTTCAAGTGCGAGCACGAGGGATGCGATCGGCGGTTCGCCAACTCCTCGGATCGGAAGAAGCACTCCCACGTGCACACGTCGGATAAGCCCTACAACTGTCGGATCAATGGCTGTGATAAGTCCTACACGCACCCCTCCTCGCTGCGCAAGCACATGAAGGTAAGTTGAGTTTTGTTTATATACCTTCCACAGGGCCAGACCTTATAAGTTTTAATTCAAAGACATCAAAATAGATAAAGACTTGCTAGGGCAAATTGTACGCTGGTAAAAGTCAAGGGTCGATTATCATTATATGAACGGTAGTACTTTGTTTGAGGTATACGTAATTTTTTAAAATCAATGTTTTAATTTTCAATCATTATTTAGATAGAGTTTCTATAGACCTATTGATCTTAGTGGAAGTACTTCCTTAAATGTATAGCCAAGTAAAACACATCCATTTTGATTGAGCTATTTTTGTATTTATTGGAACCGAACCAAACCGCTATCAGCCATTTTAAAATTCCAAACGTCCAGGACCTAAGGGATACTTTTTGATAATATAGTACTAACTCTTCTCCTCTTCCCAATTCCTCCCCCAGGTGCATGGCAACGTGGATGAGAAGAGTCCATCCCACGGCTACGACAGCGAGGGCGAGGAGAGCTCCAGCTCGAGCATCATCACCGGCGGAGCCCAGACGCCGCCTTCGACCCGCTTGGACGGAAGTGCGGGCAGCAGCAGCGGGGTGAGCAGCCTGAGCGGGGGCAGCGGCATCAAGTCCTCCCCGCACTCAATCAAGTCGGAGCCCAATCCGATGCACAGCGTCCACCTGGGCGCCTCCAGCAGTGGCAGCAGCAGCACGGCCAGCAGCAGCGCCTCCCACTTGCTGCAGCAGCAACAGCAGCAGCAGCAGCAACAGCAGCAGCATCAGCAGCAGCAGCAACAGCAGCAGCAGCTGGCCGCCCATCCCAGCGACTCGAAGTCCTCGCCCGCCCTCCAACTGATGGCCGCTTCCGCATCCGCCTACCTGCCGCCCCCCCTGGGACCCCCTCCCTCGCACCACCACCACCACCCCCATCACCACCAGGCGGCGCCCTCTCCGGGGGCAGCGGCCGCCTCTGCCTCGATGCTGCACCACAACCACCACCTTCTGTACCACCCGGCCGCCCAGCACCACCCACCCAGCGAATGGTACCACACGGCGGCGCCCAGCGGCTCGGCGGAGGCCATGAACCCCCTGAACCACTTCGGGCACCACCACCACCACCACCACCTGATGCATCCCGGGGCAGCCACGGCGTATTGAGAGTGGGAGAACTGGTGGCCCGAGGAGCCGCCACCGCCCCCCGCCCAGCCGGTGGCCACGCCCACCACGGTCGCAGGGGGCGGGACAGGACCAGCGCAAGGAGCCCCGGAGGAGTCGACCTCCTCGCTGGACTGGATCTGCTGCCAGCGGCTGCAGAACCTGGCCCTTGTGGCGCAATGTGAAAACCAAATATTTCTGAAAGTTGAAGAAAACACTTTGAACTTTTTACCTGATAATTGAAAAATTGCTGTTGAAACGAAAGTCGAAAACTCACATTTTGATTCGTCTTTGAACACGACTATTATGTATTTTAAATATTAATATACAAAAAAAGATGTACGATCGATAAATTGCCTAATTTTTTGCTATTCAACTGTTATGTAAAATTAAACGTAGTTTTCTAGTTGCAGAACAAAAACAAACTAAAAATAACAAAACTCGAAGTAATCTTAATGTAAATGTATAAAATATGAGTTAATTATCGCATACATGTAAAAACCGCACTCGTAACTTTAACTTTAAACGAAAATTACTTAAGCATATTGACTACTTAGCCGTTAAGACTTAGCTAATTTTTTGTCGGAGCTGCTTTCACTCTCATTTTCCTCCCTCCCACCCCAAGCTTTCTAGTACAAAAATTGCTAACTAATACACTGTAAAAAGAGTTTAACATCGAAGGGATTGGAAGCTACATCGCATATACGTATATACATTTTCGGCCTTAGATTTCTTCAAGCTTAAGTACGCAGAATAAATTTAAAGAGTTTTCAAAAATCCAACAACAAAAAAACCCACAAAAACCATCAAGAAAAATAAACAGAAAAAACAATAAACAAAAATGTTTAACTTATTTCGGAGCGGTTGCGTTGATTTGGGTATGGAATAATGGAGCATTATTAGACATTTCTTCAAATGATATACAGAGTCATTTTCTTTTCTCAACACTTAAAATTATACATATGTTTTGTGCTGAGAGTCATGTGAAGTTAAAAACCCACATTTATACTAACAAAAGTATCTGTATTTAAAAAGCGTCAAGAAGTTCCAAACGTGCAATATGTTTGTTTCGCTTTACCACTAAGATATGCTCTTTAATCCAGTTACAATAAATAAAGCTATCAAATTACATATGCGTCGCTGCATCAGTACTTTATAAGACAAATTCGATTTCCTGGTCTGATTTGAACTCCATTTCAAAACCTTGGACTTATTTCCATCACCATCGATATGGTTCCCACACGCTCTCACTGACCGTTTCATTCCGGTCGTTCCGCTTCGATTGAAATGCAAATGGGATTCGCAAATTTCTGATCTGTTAATTAAACGCATTTTTTACGAACTCTCCAGCCGAGTGGGTATATATTTGGATAACCATTTTAATTGACGGAATTTTGTCATGAATATTTATTGCTAAACTTCGTTAATTTGTTTTGATTGGTTCAGCGGAGGCTGGTAAAAACAAATTTTAAGTGTATGTTGGGCAGATCAAGTTTCCAGGGGCTAAAAGTCATCAAAGTGTCTTAATGGCCGACAGTTTGTGGGCTAAGCGGTGTTCATTAACATTATCATAACAGAGGGTTGCTAAAATAAATTATAAACAGGCAGTGGGAAAGTGTCTATCGTGAAATTGTTTCTGGCGAAAAGAGTGTGATTTATTTCACGAATTTCTTTGCCGGGGACCTCGGCTGATTTCAGTTGATGAAAGGGCCGTCAAAGACCTGCCACGGTTATTTAGCGGCCGAGGGGCCGCAGAGAGTGTGGATAAAGAATAAAGCGATTTATGTTTTTTTAATTAACCCAACAATTTGTTACGTGCCTCAAACGAACACGGAGGCACACACATCCACCGCCGATGTCTAGGCTAGTCGAGGGTTCGCAGCCGTAACGAATTCATATTTTGATTTATTGAATAGAAATCGATTGGATTAATCGAAAGAAATTATATTGCAGCGGCTGGCTGTCGACAAAATTTGCTCTGCCTGTTGCGGCTTTCTACCGCCGACCCCGCCTGTCTTCGGAAACCCCAACGACTTACCTGTGTGGAATTGAAATTAAAGGATGAAATCAGCCAGAAAACTGTTGTGGCGTGCAATTAAATTTTTACCTGTATTCCACCGTCCGAGGTTGGCCATAAAACGAGTTTGGCTTGCTTTGATTTCAGTTCGTTTACGGCCAGAATATGCGGGCCCCATATAAGCTTTTGATTGGTAGAAAGAGCTGGAGAAATGGCAGCCAGAGTTAATTGCCAATGTTAGGGGGTTCAATTGAAGGTAGGAGAGGGATTGGCACCAATTTTAAAGTAGTTTAGTATGTAGGAAACACCAAGTCCAATGGGTACAACTGAGTACTACCTATATATATGTAGCTCTTTTCTACCAAATAAACAAGGCAAACCCCTAAAAATGATCTTAAAATTTCCGTTCGATTTCTTTGCTCACCAGCAAATTAGTAATAAGTACAGACGTTACCCAATGTTATTTTTAGGAACAACAAGAAATTAGTTGTCTTACTCGCTTTGATATGCCTATTAAAAATTCTGGCGATCTCCCCCTGCTAGCAAACCTTATCCGGGAACACATCAAAACATTGGCAAACTCCGTTCCCATGACGGAGCCCAGAACCAGAAACCTTTAAACAAATCAAGCCACGACCACACAGCCACCAAACAACGTCAACAACTGACACAAAACAACAACCAAAAGTACAAAAAATGGCCAAAAGCGAGAGGGAGAGAGAGGAAAACTTGTTGACACACGGCCCAAAAGCTGGCTCTGTCATCCAGTCTCTTTCTGGCCAGCTCGCCCTCTCCCTTGCACAATGGCGCGCTCTCTTTCTGTGTCGGTACAATTTAAGTTTCAATATGCGACTATTTGTTGCAATTTAAGCTGAACGCGTTTATAAATTGACGACGGAAACTGCCGTCGACTGCGACCCATAGACAGGCTGGTAGAAAGGCCGCGGAGGGGGCGGAAGGGGCGGGACGGGGTGGAAAGGGGGTGGGGCACTGCATCCAACTGGGAAATAGGCAGGTAAAGACCCACCGAGTGACGGGGCCCCCGGACGTTTAAATTGAACCGACGAACGTACACATGCCGCTCACAATTCCCAATGTAAAGTCTAATTTTCGGTTTTTACAAACGGTAAATATGGCCTGACACTTAAATTACATAAATTAATTTATACTAGCTGTGGTTCCTATACTGATTTATGCACTCTTTTTGTTTGTTTTCGTTGGAGGTACTTTATTATTTTTTCTTTTTTCGGCATGGCCTGGCGCATTTTGTGGCTTACTAATTTTTGCGGTTGTCACATTTTAATTGAATTATTTTCATAGTTGTCTGGCAAACTGTTGCGGTCGATAATGAGAGTAAAAGTCGGCTGAACCGAAAACAATTAAAATAGTTTTAATCACTAAAACGTAAAAAACGCCCTAAGCTATTGCAGCGTGCCGAAGTGAGTAAGAATGTAGTAAGAATAAAACTAGTATTTTAACATGGCGCATTTATCCTCACCGGCCCAAAAGCTTAAATTTCAAGAATTTTCACTTACACCTTCAGCGCTTCTTTCTCCAAAGCCGATTGAAATTTTATTACCTTTTGATTGGTGTTTCACTCGTTATGATCGGACCATCACTGTAAATTTTCAATTCTGCGGCTTCGTCACTACGCGTACTGCCATCCACAGTGATATTTTCCTGATCGGCAGCAACTGCCCGGTCGATCCAGCATAACGAAATCGAACTTTGTGGAACTCTCTTTTACTCTATGTTGTAGTTTTTTAACCATTTTTTGAAAAAAGAAGCTAAAATTGTATATTTTTTAAACCCGATACTCGTAGAGTAAAAGGGTATACTAGATTCGTCGGAAAGTATGTAACAGACAGAAGAAAGCGTTTTCGACCCCATAAAGTTTATATATTCTCGATCAGGATCACTAGCCGAGTCGATCTAGCCATTTCCGTCTCTCCTCCTGTCCGCTATCCGTATGAACGCTGAGATCTCGGAAACTAGGCTATTGGGATTGGGCAAGCAGATTCCTGAGCTTTTTGCGCAGCGCAAGTTTGTTTCAGCAGCGTGCCACGCCCACTCTAACGCCCACAAACCGCCCAAGCCTGTGGTGCCCACAGTTTTTATGGTAGATAACATTTTTTAACTGAAATGTATTAGTTCCGTCAATACCTATCGATTGAACCAAAAACAACGTCCACAAGCCCTTAAAATTGATCACTGTTAAAGAAATTTCCTGTGTAGTTAACGGTAACTACTAGGTATCAAGCTTAACCAACTGGCCAAATAAAACTACTGTAATTTATTAATAAGATTCCTATTCATTGCTAGCAAGAAAATTTAATTTAAAAAATCAATTTTGTATGCTTAGGATGCGATCGTCACGACATTATTAAAAGATAGTTTTTGTTGGACGTTGTATAGCAAGCTTTCATGTAGACTTGCCGACTTTTAATTATTCAGGTATGTTTTCTGTCAATCATTCTTCGCATCGACTAATTGTCGTTAATCGGGTCTATTGATTTAATTTTACTTTATATTGTACGTAACCAGATCATAATCCAAATCAGGCGATAAATACTGAGAAGTTGGTTAAAGCTTTACTCCTTTTTATCTTTAGTTGGGTTGGTCTAACTTTATATGAAGAATAAGAAATCTTGTTACTATCGGCATCACTTATTATTCTGCCTTCCCAATAGTCTGAGAAATTCCCTCATGCCAACCAATTTTTCATATTACAAATTCTTTTCTTTCCATCACTTTGATCGATGCGCTATAAGAAAACAAAAGACTTAAAAAACACTAGTTAACAAAATAATTAAGTGAAAATGATCTGTTGAATAATATTATGAGGCAATTTAACTATTCGAAGTAAGAAATGTATAAGAAGTAACATAGATTGTATAAATATAAAATTGTTATACTGTTGCAAGAGTATTGGACTTTTAGGGAATAAATTATTATTTTTTGGTTTTTAAAAAGAAGTATCTTTTGTTAACTAGTGTAACAACACCCATTGGATTGTGGAATAGCACCAGTACGGAAAAATACAAACGATAAATAAAAGTTTTGGAACAGCTTGGACACGGCGCAGACGCGTTGGCACCACCATCAGCACTTTAACGATAATTTTTACACTTTGCTAATAGTTTTTTAATCAAAAATTTAACGCCACACTCGACTTACAATAGTTTTTTCCGGCAACACACCCAATCCAATGCCGCATTCCCCGGCCACCGACCACACGCGAGCTGGGAGAAACCTTAATTACTTTTCGAAGTGCAACCAAAGATGATAAATTATTGGGCTGGGAAAGCCAAGCAGATCCCAGACTGTCTGTCTGGAGCGATCGCGACTGACCAGGCTTATTGAGTTACGATGTCAGTGGAGGATCATTAAAATTACAGACAGTACCGGCCAGAAACTGGGTTCCCAAGAAATCTCAATGGCAGGGACCAGCTGGAACCCTTGCCATCCGAATCCCTTCCCCCACTCGCATTAAAAGTTTTGTAATTTTTCAATATTCGCACACAAAACGAAATTAGCTCGTTGGAGGATTGGGATCGGACTTTGGATTCGGTCGGGATCGGGGTGGAATAGGTATCGGAATCCCAACGCATGCAAATTTCACAGGAATCAAAGGCAAAAGATGGGGCAAATACAAATAATAATAAAAAGGCTTATCCCAAGCTGAAAAGTCGTTGCGGCGTTGTGACTTATGGCTGAGCTCTTTTTATGCTTTGGACACTGTTGCTTTCGTCTCGCTGCTGCACTGAGAAAATTGGTTTTGTAAATGTTTGTGAAACCCATGTGAGGTAAATGGTGCCACATGTTCTTTGTTTAAGCCGGACCATATGTTAAACCAAGGTACGGGAGGTATATGTTGAAAAAGTATTGATAAATCAATCAAATTTTAGGTATAACCATTAGTTTATTGCTATGAATGGAAACTTACCTAATTTTACTATTTTTAGTTCACAATTCACTTAAGTAATAAAGTGGGATGTAGTCATTAATTTATATAAAGAATTTGACTCCTAATTTCCCATTCATTTTTTCAAATAAAAGTATAGCCCATTATCACGTCATATACCAAAGAACGAAAGAAATTCCTGATCTGTATATTTTATAACAAAGCAGTTAGTATTAAAATACAGTGTGACCTTATATTTGCTCTCCCTATGAGATTTACTGGACGTCAGGACATCAAATAGTATCAACTATCAACAGTAATTTTAATAAACGATTAAAAGGCAACTCAAATTTAGTATGTTCTTATTTCTTATCCCTAAACCAAAATGGCTGATATACCATTTTGTACAGATCCCGATCCCTAAGTTTTTAAGTATCCTCTTGCTAATATTCCCTACTGATTTCTCCCCGTGCAGCTTCACCTTTGTGGTGTGCCTCGTTTCGTTTGGAGCATGTGCAGACAGTTGTGAAATTATATTTGCGCACCGTCATGGCCATTGTGTGGCTGCAACAGGATTGGACTGAGACTGAGGCTGAGACTGAGACTGAGGACTGGACTGAGCCTGGATCCCCGCCAGAGTCCCAGCTCGACCCGAGTCCACTGCGCTCGACTCAACTCTCGATTTGTCAGGGCAGACGAATAGCTTAACTGTTGGCCAGGAGGGCTCGGCCAACAGGCAGGTTGTTGCGGGGCAGGGAGCGGCGATCGAGGAGCTGGAGGCAGGGCCATGGGAGCTAGCCGCATCACCGTCATCGTGCTATTCAAACAAATGATTTACAAAATGTTAAATGAATTATGCATTTTGCATATGCGCCTTTGCAGTTTCGTGCAATTTTTCATATCGAATAGCCAGGGTACCGTCCAGCCCAAGACAACCTGTGCACCTCGGCCACATTTCCCTGGTGTTGGCTTTAATAAATTGGCGTGGGGTGCGCCTCGAGCCGTCCATCCCCTCCATCTCTCCAGCATCGGCATCCTCGTCCAATCCTCTGGGTGTTGTTGTCGCAGGCTTGTTTAGGCCATGTCCGTGTCCAAGCCAATGTCATGGATCTGTGCGGCATGCGGCGACTTAAGCAAACACAGCCATTCGACAGCGACTGGAAAAAGGAAGGCAAATATAATCAAGTCATATAAATTGAGTGCATTTTTCACAATAAATTGTCTAAATTGTCTAAATTATGCCGTGTGCGCTCACCTGATGACCACGAAAAGTCACGTGGGCCCATCGGTCCAAGTGGGCAGTGCGTTTGGAAAATTGGTTGAAGCTCGATAGAATAGGATAACATTGCGAGAGGGATTTCATTCGGTTGTATTAGAACCAAAAGTAACTTATCTTTGGTTACAGTATTGTGAAAGGTAAGCTTAAAATTGTATGGAAGTAAATTTCTTACCTAATAATCACTTATGTATTAAATTACTTAAATAAATTAACAGTTTTCCTAAATGATCTTTGTTGCAAATATATACTCTTTATGGATCGATTTGGGGAATAAATGTAATGAATATCTCTAAGTATTGAATAATAATAAACTTAATAAACTTCAGCTCCTAAAACTGACGGAGATCGCTGTAAAACTTCAATATATGAATATGTATATTAAATCAAAACATGTGAAAATTCAGTCAGCTGGTCAAAAAATGCAAGTACTCTTGAATTTCTCAATTAGAGATCGAAAGAAAATATCGTTACACGTTGAACTTTAAATATATAGATCAGCGTGTATTCTTTTTCTTTTAATATTGACTGATATTTGTTCGCTATTAAGTGGGCATGGTACCTAACCAGTGTAGGGTAAATATGAACTCATCATAGGGTTGAAAGATTTAAGAAAATGTACCCCGAATCTTTGGGCATCATTTGTTACATTTGGTTTTATTGAAAAAATATTGCAAATGGAATTTGAACCTCCTTGTATTTTCAACAAGTCAAGATGATTGAAATCACGTCATGCTCTCAACCCTACCTTCAGTCCCACAGCCACAAATAAGCACTGCACAGTATCGTAAATTATAAACATATCCAGACGCACTTCATTATAAGAAAAAGTAGGGAATGAACACAGAAACATCTCCCCAAAAATATACCCACTCAATCGATCCGATCCGTTTGGATCCACTGCTACGTGGATCAGGCATTAGGCAGGTGAAATACGTCGATGTGCCTTAAAACAATATTTGCGGGCCTGCAGTTGTGTTTGCTTAGCAATTAGGTGCATCCCGAGCATGCAGGCGAGCATAACCCAGGGACCCGATCCCTGATAGATCATGTAAACAACTCCAGCATATTTAGTATGTGTCAGGAAAATGAATGGCTACCTCGAGGGGCGGAAAAGGGGCGTGGGGCGGCAAGTGCTCGACTAGACTAACAGTAGCCACGGGCTAATTATGCTCCGGAGAGGCGCAACTGCTCCGGAGAGGCGCAACTGCTCCGGTCCTAAATACCACTCGAGAGCTGCGCCCTTCACCAAGACACTTGGCCAGCAGTAAACTTGATTTATGCACCTCGGCATAGGACCCATGGCACATCCGAAGAAAACTGAACCAGCAGACTGCCAGGCGGCCATGCCATCCCGCTGAAAGTTTCAAGTAGTTTCCACAACCGCAGCCAATCTCAAACTCGATTCTAAGCTACGCCACTTGGACAAAATGATGCACCAGAAGAATTATGTACTGAAAGCTTAGGGCAATAATATGTATATTATAAGACTAAAATATTAGTATATAATAAGTAAACACGTGTCGGCTGCTGTGAACAAACTTTGGGCTATATTCCATGTAACGTAATTCGTAATTGCAAATACAAAATATATATGCTCCCATAAAATTTATCGAAAATTGTCCCCAATTACTTTAAGTTGGCGCTGCACCTTTCTGTTGAACTCCTTAGACAGCAACTGACGATCGGTGCAAAGTGGTATCTCACAGTTATTTCTGCTAAGCTCCCTTTCTTCCAAAGCTTTCGACTTGAAGTCAGCAGAAGACACCTCATCAGCCGGGGGCTGCCTACCCCTTTCCCCGGGGGAAGTTTCGCCCAAGCTGTTTAATAACTTCTCGGCCAAAAGCGCTATGCGATCGTTTTGCTTGGGAACATAATCGTCATTGAACGCCTCCGATCGGCGAGTAAAGATAACACTGGGCTTGTAGCTCAATACGCTAGGCTCAGTAGACCTACGGGACTTCAGACTGCTTTCGGCACTAAAGGAGGAGGTACTCTTCTTGGTAGTCAGCGCGGCTGCCATCAACTTAGCACGGATCTTCTCCTCATCGTCGGTCAACGTGATGTCCAAAAAGTCGGCATCATCATCTAGAAATATGGCAGGACCCTCAAAGTCCTTTGGAATCTCCAAAAGGGCCTCATCAGCATCGTATATCTTAAGACTAAGGAAGCTTTTCGACTTAGCTACTGTACTTGAAGGTGTATCTTCCCCAACTTCTTTGCTTAATTTTTGATCGGCTTTTATATAGCTCTTAAAGAGGAGATAAGTTTTAAAAGTGTTCTGATTCCTGTGAAAAATACTTACATCGTTCTCGGAATGATCATGTTGATTTCCATCTTCAGTGCTGACCTCATTCCTGGTTATCGTATCATCATAGTCATCGGAAAGAATCTCGATTTCATCATGGCTAGTTAGATCATCATATTCTTCGCCTTTGTTCGTCTCTTTGTCACCAACTGGATAACTAAGTTCATCATAGGACGTATATTCATCAATATCGTACGGAATTTGAACTGCCTCTTCTGTGGTAACACTACGATAATCATCGGTTCTGTCGATGCTCTGAACATTTGATTCCCCTTCCGTCAATATACTTTCATCACACCCACTTGGAGGTTTATTGAGGACTAATCCTTTCTCTTCGTTATAGCTCAACCAACTATCTTCTTGAATTTCCGACTCATTTGGGTCACCATTCTCCATATCCAAAAAACTACTAGGCCTTTCGTCATTCCAGTCCTCGGTCTCATCCTCACTGGGATATTGCACCCCGACAGAGGCATTTGATCTGCCAAGAAAGCCCTCCCTCACTTGCTCGGTTCCAATTTCGATGTCGTGCGTTTTTCGCCTCGTCTTGATATTAATGGGACTATTTCCACGATCTTGATACGTCTTGGGCAGACTCCTCTGGTGACGATAATGATGATGATGACGATGGCGTGTGCTGCAGCCCGAAAGATAATCTCTTTGCGAGCGAGATTGTGATGTCGCAGTTGATGGAATTTCACTTCTGCGGTCTACAGGGTAATCGCGTCCATCAGTCAACTCCGCATTGTGGCCCTTATAACGATGTTTTCTTGATCTGGAATAACAAGAGCAAAGGCTACAAACCGATGACTCTTGTGCGCATACGCATGATCTCTGTCTATATGCCAAAGAATCTTCAGAACATTTATTTTCCGAATGATATGTAAAGGAACTTCTAGTCTCTTGACTTTCTTCAAAACTGCTTCTTCCTCTAAGTTCTGTTTTGTTTAAAGGTAATTGGGAACGTTTTGATCTAAGCTCTTTTGTTTTTTTTGCCCCTCGCATCAGTGGATCCTCCAATTCTCTAAAAGAGCTTTTATCCCTAGTTAAAGATTTGTCTGTAGATAGGTTGTCAAATTCAAAGGATCTCCGATCCAGGTTACTGGAATACTCCGATCCCAGACTGCTTTCACCATCATAGTTCCCACTTCCAGCTACTTCAAGGGTCCTATGCAGCTTAGATTTCTTAATTTTGTAGGCCCGACAAGCCCGCTCTGCCTTTTGTTGTCGTTCCTTAGACTCCTCGAAGATTTCGCTATAGATCTGGCTAAAGCTCTTGGATCGGTCAGTGGATTCTGCACTTGGCTCAGTCTGGGAGTGTATCTCGTCCTGATCACTTGAAATGTATTCTGTATCCTTGGGGATATCTTCGAGCTCTGCCCCTAAATAGCTTTCTTTTGAATGATTACTATGTGTGTTGGTTCTGTGAGAGAAATTCCCATTTCCATTCGTAGAGTATCTGTGGCCTGAAGAATCCTGACCCTCGATAAACTGTTCTTTGGATAAGTCAGAGCGACTGTAAGACTTCCTAGAGGAGTCCTCTTTAGAGGGGAAACGTCTCAATTTCCTGGGAGCTTTATTTCGGCAAATAATTCTATCACCTGAGTCAGCTTCATCCTGATCCTTCGCCGAGATGCTGCTAGAGCTCGGTTTGTGCTTAATATGATGGGACTTGTGTTGGGGTTAAAGATTAGGGGAGGGAGATATTTGGGCAGTCTACTTACCATTTCTAATCGAACCTCTTCTAAGGTGTAGCTTAATGGAGAATGGGGTGTCAAACTGACTCGCCTGACATCAATTGCTGGGCAACCTCGATTGTCTGGCAGCTTCCTGATTTCCCCATTGCAAAGACCTTGCTTTCAGCAGGCCCATCAATTACTGGGCCAACTCAACTTGGCAGCCACAAGGGAGCCAAGTGGCCATGTGGACCGCAGGCCCGAAAAACAAAACTCAATTAGCTAAACCAACGAAAACTCACTCACCATCTCGAGAACTTCACGTTGCCCACACACAACGACCCGCCGAAAAATGGAAAAAGTGCATCAAGTTTTGGAGGGGGCCATGAGATGGGCAGGGAATGGGGCGGATTTTTGGGGCAGTGCAACTGCGGCCCCATTAGTGTCACTTAGCAGCTAATTATGCTGCGCCTGGGAATTACTTTTTAATTTGTTGCTGCGCGCCCCGTACCAAAATAAATAAACGCGCGCGCCAAGAACCTCAAGTGGTTATCAGTCGGAGGAGCGAGGGGAGCCACCGAAACTCAAGTGGCGAATATTTCCACCGCAGTTTTGGCAGCCAGCCTGGCTGCTTAGGTTCCTGGTCCTCGGACCTCCGTTCTGGGACTTGGCTCCCTATCCCTACTTTTCTGCGGCGCGTGCTGTGGGCGTTCACCTTAATTTGTGCGCCGCCTAAGGGCTCGGGACCTCGGAACTTGGACGATGTGGAATTCTGGTGGCATAATGGGCGTGTGCGGACGGAGAAATTATGTTGTTGGCCCTGCGTCTACGGTCAAGGCTTTAACAGGGTATGCCAAAACGGATCTTGGTAAGAAAAGGGTTTTTTAGCAGTACAAAAAGTTTCACATTTATACAAATATTGTTCAAGGTGCAACTTATATTTGTGGTTTCTGAATTGGAGCACCTTTGTAAAATGTTGTTAATCTTCATTAACGATCGAATTAGTCATTGATAACGCAAATCGGGCTAAACAACTAAAGATACAAACTAAAATATGCTCTAATACAGTCGCAAAAAAAGTATAGTATTACAGCCGAAAGTTAAACTTTCTGAAAACATAACTTTTATATTTGGAGAACATTTTCGATTTAATTTGTTAAGTTTATAGTTATGAGTTACAAGATAGATATATTGTTCCAACCAAAAATAGCTTGTTATATATTTCATAGGGAACTTTCTTTCCTTCTTTCTTCCTTTCTACAGGTTTGATACCGCTTTCCCGCTTTAAGGCCAGTTAATCAAATGAGTCCAGTGAACTCTAGGTTCGGAAGCTCAATATCGTGCCCCGGAATAAACTTTCCCTTACGTGGTCCTACGATCGCCGGCGCTGGCTTACCTTTTGATCTTCACGCCTTTGGTGGCACACGACACCAGTCGCTTTCGCCATGTCCCAAGTGTTAATTAGACAAAAACTAATTAAGCATTTTGCGCACACACGCTCCAAATGAGGAGCAGGGAGTCTGGGACTGAACCGGGGAGCCGGCGACGGCGCCACATCGCCAGGGACGAAGTCGCCTCAATCAGCGAGGAAGGGAGCCGGGGCTGTAGGATCCCAAGATACTGGGGCCAAAAGCGGCAAAGACACATTTATTAAAGTCGCTCGGGGCATAAATCGTTGAGTGACATGCGACAAACGTCCGAGTTACATTCTGTGCGGTGCGATTGATACGACAATCGAGCGATCACCGGCCGATGGATGCCTCGGATGGATGATGATGATGATGGGTAATTAAAAATTGATCACGTTTAACAAACTGCTACCGAAACAATATATCACAAATGATCAGCGGCGGCAGGAGGAGGCTTGACAAAGTCACAAAACTTGAGCAGCTTCGATCGATTCGGCTGTATGGACATATCGATCTGGTTGAGCTGCCACATTAAGTCAAAGCTCTGGTTACATTTCATCTCTCGGCTGTAGATATGCGTTTTTGTGTGTGATTTTCCTACCCTTTCGACGGTCGGTCCATCAATAATTCATTACGCTTGAGTGATCTATTCAGCGGAGGAACCAATCCATCGATCGTTCGTTTGCTCGCTGGATCCTCGCATCGATCGCGAGAAAAAAGATATTCCGCTTGTCAGTCGGGGCCCTGGGCACAAGTGCTCCTCTTTGTTCCCCTCCTTTTGAAAGCAAAATTGTGCCATAAATATAATGAATACATATTTGGGAGGGCTTGGAGAGGAGCCAGAACAATGGAACCGCTGAGGTTCCGCTCATTATTAGCCAAGAATTGAAGGACCCTTCAGCCGGAGTGTTGGTTTTTGTACAATCGATGGCGACTTTTGATGGAACACCGCCGCAGACGGTTATTGATGAACGAGTGCTATGCGGTAGGGCAATGGATCACTGATCACCCCCACCCACTTCCCCGATTCCCCGGCAAGCCTTCGAGCTGTACGCAAACTTTAACCCTTGAGAGATTTGCGCCGAGGTGTTGGATAAAACATATAGTTCGTGTGAATGCCGACACGTTGTGACAATTGTTTGACAACAACAGCCACAGAACGAACAACAAAAGACATGGAGAACTATGAAAAGGTCGTCAAGAGACTGGGCCGCATGACTCGCCCACACAATCATCGATAAAGTTTTTCGCCTCGTTTTTCCCCGCAGTTTTCTGTAAAACGTGCCACGAGTCGCCCGCGAACATTCAAAATATGCAAATGCCACAAGGGTAAACAAACAGCAAGAAACAGAAAAAGATACTGGCTGCAGCTCAAAACCGAACCGAACCAATCCAGTCCTATCCTATCCCCTCATCTGGCGTCCGTCGCCGTTGGTTTTATTTCATGGCATAGTTTTTTGTTTTTGTTTCGGGAAATCTAGCAGAAATTGTAATAATTTGAAATAATACCCGCCTAATGATCAGACAGATTTCGACAAATTTTTTTTATCCAGTTTTTCAGTTTAGACATCAGATAGACGATCAGAAAAAGGCCTTGCTTACATTTTTCTTTAGTAGAATTTTGTATTTAAAACTAGACACAATACTTATAAAATAACATGGTGTAATTAAAAAAAATGTTATAAATAATGATTCCAATGTTCGTTTATTAACTTAATTTTTATCGCTTTTATTATATTCTTATACAATCGCTTAAAGTGTCATTTTTGACCGCTTATAGTATATAGTATAGTATAGTATATTCACTCAGAAAAAACAAATCAAGTACAAGCGACCTTGGACTAAGAACATTTTCATGCTTAAAATTTTAACATTGTTTGTAAAAGAAAGGTCTTAATTTGAGCACAATTTGGATGAACTCTAACAATTTTCAACTTTTAATTTTAAAATAGCCGACTTTACTCTATTAATAGCCGTGACTGGCAAGTCGTAAGCCAACTTATTAGATTAATGTAGTTTATATTAATCTCGTTTATCTATTATTAGTTACCAATTCCTTTTTCTCCTACTAGCACATAAGTAAAATCAAATTTAAAGGTACAATTTAACATATATTGATTTGAGAATTTACGTTCTTTAATCATGCCTGCAACGTTCTTATTTTAATAATAAATCGTACTGGTTTTAAGTACAAATATCACAAGATTTAAGAATAATTAATACTTGATTGTAGATCGAAAGGTTCTAAAAACGTGCTGAAATCAAGAATTTTTTGTCTTGAAAATTCGTACTTGAAAGCTGTATTTTGTTTTCGAGAATGATTCAAGAACAAAATACTTGTTTTTTCTGAGTGTAGTAGTAGTAGTAAACTCACTTTTAGTTATTAGCTTATTGTAAGGAGTGTGGTCAATTTTGAACTGACAATTCCCTTCTTTTAAAAAATAAATTAAAATTAATATACTCACTGCATTACACCCCCCTTAAAATCTCCTTTCCTACGTAAGCCAACTTGCCCTGTGATCATCGGAGTCGATCTGCGCCAGTTGCTCGGCCTGCGTTGTTCTTGTTACTCGGCCTGGAACAACACCAGAGCTTATTGATATCGTGCTTATTGATCTTGTTTGGCGATAAGTCTGCGCTCAACTACTTATATATATAAATATTTTCATCGTCGAGCTTAAGCTCCCACTTCCATGGAAGTTGATCGCATAAAAGCGGAGAGGCCAGAAACAAAGACTCCAGCTTTGCATTGGCATTAGAGGCGATCTTCGGACTTGGCCAGTAGTGGGATTGGATTCTTTTAAATGTGTTTTTTGCAGTTGAACCCGGGGTTGAGCCCAGACCAGGACGAAGAAGAGGATGAGGTTGGGTACGAGGATGAGGATGAGGACTGGGGCACATGTGCCCCGAACATTCTCACACGACCAGCTGTGGAATGGCGAGGAGAACCTCGATCCCGACCTGAACTAAAACTGGGACTCAGTGATTGCGGTCTCTTCTCCTAGACCGCAACTATAAATTTCATAAACAGCTCTGCCTTTGGCTTTCGACCGCCTTTCGGCTGAAGGTCTTTGCAGTTCCGCGAATTAATATTCGTGTGATTTTTTATCGTTATTTGATTTCGACCAAATTTACTGGCCATGTGAGTCAAAGTTCCAGTCGAAATGGTTGCAATTGCAGGTGGGGAAAGCGTTCTATACCTTTTTATGGTCAACTGAGTAGGGTACTTTAAAAAATTTGAACTAATATAAGACGGAAAAATAAGTGGGAAGGAAAGGTAACAAATCATTTTTGGCTTTTAAGTATAAAGAAAATATGATTGTTTCTCTACGATTGATTTGATATTTGAACATATTGAATTTAACAGAAAATGTTGAATACTTCAACAGTCAAAAGGTTATAAAACAGGGAAGAACACTATGGTCGAGTCCCTCGACTATCAGATACCCATTACCCAGCTTAAGGGTGCGCAAGGGAAATGGAGATATGCAAGCAGCAAACCCTTTTTTTTCGAGATTGAGAGGTACCACCTAGCGGCGATTACAACATTTTGTCATGTGGACGACAGACAGTTTTTAGCGTTATGGGCGTTAGAGAGGGCATGGAAAACTTTTATTTCGATAGGTAAAGATGAAACCAATACATTTCGTGGGCGTACCACTTTGCTGAAACAAACTTGCACTGCAAAGGACCTTAAGAATTTGATCCCAACTTTGTAGCTTT